AAAAAAAAAGAATCTGTGGGTCAGAAGTCAGAGTGGGTGACTGACAAGTTCTCTGAGTTCTTTTGGATCTGAAGTTCAATTTTTCTCTCCTCTTCCTCCTCCTCCTCCTCCTCCTCCTCCTCCCCCTCCTTCTCCTTCCCCTTCTTCTTCCCCTCCTCCTCCTCCTCCTCCTCCTCCTCCTTCTCCTCCTCCAACTCCTCCTCCTTCTCCTCTTCCACCTTTTCCTTCTTTCTCTTCTTCCTTTTCTTGGAGACAGGGTCTCACTCTGTAGTTCAGGCTGAATTTGAACCCACTGTGTAGCCTGGCTGGCCTCAGAAACATGGTGCTCTTCCTGCTTCAGCTTTCTGAGCGCTGGCATCATAGGTGTGTGCCACCATACCTGGCGTTTCTCTTGTATTTGTCTTTAGCATTCTGTCCATGTGTTCCTCTGAGAATTCCCTCGCTCATTCGGCACAACATGGATTGGACTGTGGAAGGCCCTGTGGCAGGGAGACAGCACAGGCCGGGGGCTGGGCAGGGGGAGCTGGGGACGACAGGGCATGGCCTGCAGTGTTGGCACAGTGCCTACAGTGGTCCGTCTGTAACCACAGGAGAGCATTTCCAAGACCCCCAGGGATACCATGGTCTGACGATGCTACTATATAAATGGTGCAGTATTTGCCTATAACCCTTGCAATCCTTTCATCTACTTAACTCATCTCTAGACTACTTGTGATACCTAATACAGCACAGATAGTATGAAAAGAGTTGCCACCCCTTATCATTTAGGACATAATGACAAGGAGAAAGGCCTGTACATGGTGAGTACAGATGTGATTTTTGCTTGAGTCTTTTCTGTCCAACATTTGTTGGATCCTCCCATGTAGGACATGGGGGTTCGGAGGTCCTAGTGGGGACTGGGGCATCAGGACATCTGAGGGGCTCAGGAAAGCCCAGAGTCTTGGTCCACCCTGGAGTTCCTGATCCATCAGCTCTGGGAGGGCTAATATTGGCCTATCCCAAGGGAGGGCCCAGGAGGTCCTGAGGTCCTGGTCTAGGGCTCACCCTTTGATAGTGGCTGTGGAGGACTCAGGGATGTAGGGGTCTACATCCTGAGACCACCTCAGTTTGTATCTAAATCATAGACACACATCATTGTCACGCAGCTCTTTCTGGCTGGCATCAAATGAGTCAGTTTTTTCCCCATGGAAAAAACCACTTTATCTCATCAGAAATGATGGAGAATAACCCGTGTAGGTTGAGCTGTGGATTCTGAGTGGCCAGCTGGGCTCCCGCCCCTGTATATCACACTGCCAGAGCAAGAGTGAAACCTACACTGTTGCCACATGACAAGCACATCTTCCCTAGGTCTCCAGGGACTGTGGGACCTCGGGTGGAAGGACTGTGTGGGAGGGTAGCGACATGATGCCGGCTCAGCATTCAGCCTCTCACAGCTAGATCTGCCTTGCTATTGGCCTGCATCTGGGGTCTGTGATTTGCTCCCTGGAAGAGAGAGGAACAGACCCAGGAAGGTTAAAAGGAAGAGGAGGAGGAGGAGGAGGAGGAGGAGGGAGAAGAGGAAGAGGAAGAAGAGGAAGAGGACATGACTAGAAGGATGAAGAGTTTCTAGCAGTGGGGCAAAATATTTTGGTTTTTTTTTTTTTTTTTTTTTTTTCTTTCAGTTTTGGGGATTTTTCTTTAAAAATGTTTTTTAAAAAACAAATAATAAAGAAATGAAAAAGCAAGAACCAAAAATATT